CATGGAGATTAATGCGTTCGCAGGTTTTTTTTAATTCTGTGTCTTGGAGTTGGTACATGTCTCGTTTCCAAACAGCAGACACCGCACAAAGTAGTGGCATAGCAGTTTCCTGTTTAGCATAGCTGGATTGCGTACCAGACCCGTGAAGAACCGGGGTAGAATAGGTCTTCAGAAACCCATGCTTTCCATAAAAGGCGACCATGCTTGTCGTAAGAGGCGACTAACGGGATCGGGTGGTCAGACGTGGTTGGTGCATGTCATCGTATCCCAGTTGCGTGGATCGATGCTCATGATGTCAATCACTGGATTGCCTGGTCCAGGCTCGATTATTTTTCAGATCGCCGTCAAATAGCTGGAATATTGCTGAGTGCAGCGTTAAACAAACAACATATGCGCATCACAGCCGTGACAGGATTCGGGAATTGCACCAGTTCAGGTCTTTGGTAAACAGAACCCCTAGAACCCCTTTTTAAGACTGATACACCGCAATGGTTGAGAGAAAGAGAGAGAGAGAGACACAGAGAGAGAGTGTGTGTGTGAGAGAGAGACAGAGAGAGAGAGGGAGAGAGAGAGACAGAGAGAGAGAGAGAGAGAGAGTGTGTGTGGGGGAGAGAGAGACAGAGAGAGAGGGAGAGTGTGTGTGTGAGAGAGAGACAGAGAGAGAGGGAGAGAGAGAGAGAGAGAGGGGGAGTGTGTGTGTGTGAGAGAGAGACACAGAGAGAGACAGAGAGAGAGTGTGTGTGTGAGAGAGAGACAGAGAGAGAGACAGAGAGAGAGAGAGGGAGAGTGTGTGTGTGAGAGAGAGACAGAGAGAGAGACAGAGAGAGAGAGGGAGAGTGTGTGTGTGAGAGAGAGACAGAGAGAGAGACAGAGAGAGTGAGAGAGTGTGTGTGTGTGAGAGAGAGACAGAGAGAGAGACACAGAGAGAGAGACAGAGAGAGAGTGTGTGTGAGAGAGAGACAGAGAGAGACAGAGAGAGAGAGAGGGAGAGTGTGTGTGTGAGAGAGAGACAGACAGAGAGAGAGAGAGTGTGTGAGAGAGAGAGAGAGACAGAGAGAGAGTGTCTGTGTGTGAGACAGAGAGAGAGACAGAGAGACAGAGAGAGTGTCTGTGTGTGAGACAGAGAGAGAGAGACAGAGAGACAGAGAGAGAGAGAGAGAGAGAGAGAGAGAGAGAGAGAGAGCAGAGAATCGAACTATGATATCCGGCGTGACGAGCTAACGATGTACCCACTTGCTTCTCCATCCACCGCCCGCTGGGCAATGAAGGTCACCTAGGTAAGTATAACAATTACAAACAGCATACTTTTGTGTCACATGAAACGAACACATCGTTTCAAAATATTAATTGAGCATTTTTTCAGGATTAGATAATCATGTTCGATTTTTATTTTTATGTTCCATCTTCTTTTTTATCAAAACGCTTTGAAGAAGTAATAAAATAATTTGCCGTACATGAATCCAAACCTCTTTCCAGTACATTAAAATGGAATGAAACATCGAATCTACATCAACTGTCGTGTTAACTAGATATTGACAACCCGCGGTTCTCAGGTACACGGAGTCGGATCTATAACACGGGTTACATCGGATCACACAACATGATGTCGCATGAAGTATCTGCCGGTAGCTATGACACCGTGCCTTTAATTTCGCTCTTACTTATTTAAGTGTAATGTCGGCGTTGTCATAACGGTTGTCATGTCCTTATCTGGCATACCCATACTTATTGTAATTGTAAATTTAATAATATAAGTCACGGAAAGAATATAATTTGAAATAAACACGTCGAAACATGTTTTGTTAATAAAACGACGTCAAGATTTGTTTAGCCTTCGGGTCACTGCTAAAAAATATTCCGAGGCCGTACGAAAAGTGGCGAGGTTGTTGAATGGGAAGTGGACAGATTAACTGACGTGAATCCTGAGCGCAGGTGCGCCGATGTAATATATTAGTCCTCCGATTGTTAATAAAACATGATGAGGTAGGTCTACTATCACCATCGATTGTACATGTTTAGGATTGCTCGAAAGATGTCTGAACACATTTTGATTTGGTATGACTACACATAAAACTATATTTATTACAAGAAAGTTCCTCTGCATTCTTATTGTGCCGTTCACCATGCTATAATCTAACACAGATTGTAGATGTTAATAATGGCTCTCTGTCTTGAGGAACTCTTGAACCGAATGTTGAACCTTTCGTCAATTTGTGACCCGTGTCACGGCAACCCATGTGATCAAGCTCACATGTGGCCCTGCAACAAAGACGTGTATAAAATCGGACATATATTAAGAAAATGAGAAAAAAAACACTGGATAAGGCTATTTAATGAGGAATCGGCTCCTGTACTGATCATATATTTTGTGAGTATTCAAATAAATATAAATATCAATACATACTTATATTTAAAATATTTTGGATTTTATGATTGGAGTACCCATACTTGGATCCTATCACTGTATAACATGTTCGTTATTGAACACGTATTCATTTTTAACCTTTATCGCTGAAAACGAAAAAAGTAAACAACGTTTAATCAAAACTTGTAATATTTTAAGTATGTTTGATTAAAAGATACAAAAGTTTACCTCAACCTGCTATAAAAAAACGACATGGGAGTTAATCACAAAATATAATAGATGACGATGAATTATCAAATAATTTCATCTTTTAATCAAAGACCGTGAGGCACTGTTGGGAAATGTAATCTCTTTTTCTGTATCCTGGACGAAAAAAAAACGTTATTGGAGCTTTAGACGTTGGGGTGTTGACTGCTAGTCGCTGGAGAACAAATTACTCTCACAATTGAAGCAATAATGTTCGGTGCACATCTCTAACCACTTAATTGCAGGCCCTCCGATATGGATGGAACTTTCTGCCCTGGGCGATTCTCTTATTGCGGGCAAGTATTGTCAATGTACTCGATAGAATTCCCCTAATCGCGCGGGACCAATTTTCGGCGAAAATGAAGATTTTCGTTTATCACGCTGTTTGCGGGGTCTCTTAATCGGTCTTCCAGAATTGATTATACCAGGATAATTGATATCTCGCCATAATATCGCTGAAATATAGCGAGGCTATCGGCTAATAAAGAAGTGCTTTAGAGAGCAAGGCCTCAGAGCGCTTCTCGTGATTCTCACTGAAGCTAGAATTATTGGATGAATCACTGCACGTGCGCCACGCGCCCGGAACAGCGCAAGAACGCGACATTTAGTGGACATTAAGATCGCTGTCCCTACTTTCATCATTTGATGTGATCACAAAACGAATTGTATTCTCGTAATATAAATGTCAATATGTTTTGAACAAAGTTCTTGGTTCGTTAATTTGCAGTGATAGTCAGTCCCAACTTGAGCCATTAGCAGAAGTCTTTTAAATGTATTTTGCTATTGATGATCGGAGGGAAATTTAAGAGGCGGAACACTCGTTACGGGCGCTGTATTAAACATTCTGCTATGACGTACCCCCCGGGGCTATTTGTGAACTGTTCAAGCCAGCGCGAGGCTCGGTGAAATATCACCAGCGTTCACATATACCTCAGATATTTCGCACAACGTTAGCGCTTTGTTAGGAGGTCCATTATCTCGAATGTTCTTTGTTGATACCCTCGGAGTGAGGTCATTGTTATCATACAACATACAAACTGTCAACATCTATGATTTTAGATTGGTAAATAATGATTCATGTGTAAGTGGTTAGCATGTATTTAAAGAAAACAAACATCAACATGGAGACGATGCGGGGTTCCAGTGAAAGGAATCTTTATCGACAATGATTTTGGAATCCTTTATCCTCTGTTTTTATTATCGACTGACCGAATGGACATGACAATGCGTATTATTATGGATAGCAACTTCTTTATTATACATATACAATGTTTCAGGGCTACATCTAGCCCCTTCATCAATTGAATTATGGAACAATAAAAATGATATTGTTAAAATATCGTTTTCATTCTTTTGTTCATGTATTGCTGAAGATAAATTACTATTGAAATTAGGACACTTCAAGTTGATAAAAATATCGAAGTAGCTTCCTGTAAATTATGTTCTTTGTAATAATTTGGAAAAGTCAAAAATCATTTTGGAATGTTTTGCCGAAAACATCTCCCTTTATGAAGTACGTGACACAAAACGAAGACCTTAAAACCAGAACACTGCCATGAGCAGATCCTGATTATACAGGGATGTTTGGAAGGACGGTGTAGTTTAAGGGTACAATTGAATTCGTTTCAAATAAGCTGTACTTATTTCCCTCTTTCACGGCATCCAGCTCCATAACGACCGATCGCTAAACACTCCAAACAATGTTTTGGGGATCCCTCTTCTACGGCTATCGTCGAGGTTGTATTTTGATTGCTAGCTCACTTGACAAGACGAGATCCCGCGAATTATCCGCCTATCCCCAAGGGAGTCGCAATCTCGTATGGCGCTAGTTAGGCCGCGAAAACTCAATTTTTACCGGCGCGGGGACTATTAGCATCGCGCCTCCACTTCGTCAGAACGAGACAAACAGTTGGAAACAAACGTAGAAATTGGTATTTAAACAGGGTTGCAATCATAAATAGCTTTATTGAAAAGTCGTAATATGGGACGCGACACTAGGCTATTTCCTATGTCATCAGGTTAAAGTTGCGATATACAATCTGCCTGTTCAATTGCAAAACGGTTAGAGATAGCTCTTAGCGAGGCAAGATAGCGTTGTCATCAGTACGATGGCGGAAAACCCCCTCTCAGTTTAATGATACCAATATTCTCGCTGTCAAGGAGACTCGCAGCCCACTTGACACCTCGGCTACCAATATTTGCTTATCACGACCGAAGGAGAGCCATTAATTTTTCGAGTGACACAGCTTTGCAATTGTATGGGGGAGGGGTCTATCCTTCGCCCACCCTCCCTGCCCCGCTCGCCTATTAGCGTTAGCCCGGATCATGATTGATACAGGCTGCTCTGTAATATTGGCCGGGTCCGTGTTTCAGCTTCATTTAATCGCTAATAGATTTATACACCGCACGATATGCCTCTTTCATTTCTTCTATTATTCATTCGATCGTTACATTGATCTTCCCAACGGGGCAAATAATTCCTACCAAATTGAAGAGCATTTGCAACGACCCGCATGTCTCGGGCGTTAAAAACCTCGTCAGACGCCGGAGTCTTATCACTTTCCGAGGGTGAGGGGCGAGGGAGGGACGCAACCTCTGTCAGAGTAGTGGTCAGGCAGCCCCCATCGCAGACAGACGCTCGGCGAAAGAGCGTGTATTGAGAGCAAGTTGTGCGGAAAATATTACTGATATTTACATCGATGCTGATTGCAATGGACCTTTTGTCACACCAGTGACAGCTCTTTGATTTGATGGGAGATACAGTTTATGACATATGAAGAGACTGTGAAACAGTGTAGAAATTGCCATTCAACGACTTTTAATCCTTGTCACATGACAGAGGTGTGCGTTTCAGTGAAACAGGCATTTGAGGATTTAAAGAGCCGGATTGATAAGTGAGCCAATCAACTTCAGTACCGGATTGGAATTTACAAGTTTTCGGATCAATTGACGCAATGAGAACAGCCATTGACAGCCGATCGCTTCTATAAACATATACCCATGTTATTAGCACCGGGGAGATTGACGGCAATAAACTATTGTCATTGACTGGGCTTGTCATTAGCAGCAATTACCACGGTGATGACAAAGACAATGGGCGATCAGCTGACTGCAGGTTGGTAAACAGTCGCTAATTATGCAATAACCCGGAAATACTCTCCCGGTCGACCTCGTGGGGATTAAAGCGGATTAGTTCAAAGAGGCGGGGCATTCGGTTTTCCTCGGCGGGGCTTATCACACCACCAGCACTCTTTACCCTAAACATACTGAGTTTGTTTATCATTTATGCTGAGACTCTCATTGGAGATACTTGAGGAGGGTTACCAATTGTTGTTGAAACTTACCTGACAAGGAGATGGTTTCATTCGGATTTGGAACATGTTGATGTGACATTGCAGTAATTAACTCTAAGTGCTTACTGGTATTTGAGGACCTGTGAAGACTTTTACGAGTTGGATCTTCGTTTGGCTTGGACCAGATTTCATTTACGTGCGTGATCTTTGAAGAAACTTCACAATGTATTGCACCATGGAACCCCAGGCGTTGGCGTCCTACCCGGTAATATTCAACGGTAACAAGTTGTACACCACCCCCAGGACTTGGCACCCCCACATCTACGAGAACCCACCCAGGCAGCCTACGTCTTTCTTCATAGCCGATATCCTGGGTCTGAGGGAGGAGAGGGGGAGCATGTGTTCCACCAGCCCTGGGGGTCTGTCTCCTGCCTCACCCCTCGAACACCTGTCCCGGCATCGAGTCAGCCCCACCCATAACCGCACCCCTGACAGTGAGGATGAGGGGGTTCATCACCGTGGGGACATGAGTGACCGTCTTTCGTCCAGTTCGCCGAAAACAGGTCAGTGTTTTATTTGATTATGTTTAGTAATTTGTAAAGTTGTGGAGAATGTGTTGATAATATTTGTTTTATATATTTTTTATGACAACTGTGCACTGAGGATTGGAAATCACTCCATGTTGTTCGATAAGACTATCACCGGAACGTGATAGCGATGTAATGTGATGTTTATTATTATTGAATAATTGTATTTGCCAGTCACCGAGACGGGTTAAGATCTCGTTATGTTCAACTAGTTCAGTTATGTGGAATGGATTTTGCTTTGGCGAAAACGGAATTAACTTTCATGAAACATTAAAATTCAATTTAATCACAAATTAACAGTTCTGTACTTGAATTAAAAACAAACAAAATAAGTATTTGATAAACATCCTATAATTAATCGTGGCTCTGCATCGTTTTCTGGGTTTTCTCAATATCGTTTCATTTAATTAATTTTATAATTACGTGTTCGTTACGCAACAACAGGTGCTTGCTGTGAAATAGGCACCACTTCAGTCGCGAGTTGTCAGTTAGTTGCAAGTGTCACATGCATAAATTGACATTATTCGTGACCACGTGCGAGTAATAAATAAACAAGCGGTGTGTGTTATCTCCAAACCATATCCAAAATAAGGTTAATCAGCGATTTAGACAAGGGGTGGGAATTACAGTGATAACGAAAAGTTGTTTATTGCAGTGTTTTTTTTCAAATGCAAGACGTGCTGTACAATGACTCACACAAGTTGGGTTTAATTTGTAATCTGAAGTGTCGACTTGACAGAATGGAATTTTATGTTTCAAGTTTATCAACATTTTTAGCTTTCAGCTTCTGCCGCTGAGTTAAAAAAGTAAATTCGTGGTAGTTTTCTTCAAATCATAAGTAACATGAGTGAATATAATACATGTGGTTATTAGTTTTCTGTGTACAGTGTGATGCTGAGCTTAAATTGTTAAACCTTATTTTTAATAAAAAAAACAACATTATCTGGATCGATGTATGGATGCAATCAAGTCATTTTCCCGTTCAGTAAACAGTTAGTGTATCAGCTACTGTATATCAGCACCGTATTCAGACCAACCGGTAGGAACAGATATTCTCTCATTTTATTTAAGTGTTTCTTACGCTGGTGACTATATATTGGTACTTGATATATGCGGAAAGCTATGTTTCAAGTCTTCATGTGTGTATTTGAATATAATTGACAAAGCTTGACTTTTTATGTTATATTTATCGACACTGTTAATAAAACTCCATTTAATTAGACTAATATAAAAGCCGTTTATTGTTCTTGTACATATTTGACTATGTTGGATTATCGGTCCAATTGGTGCAAACTTTATACACCATGCAAAAAATACGTATTTATTGTATTGTCCCCTATATGCATATGAAAGTAACCGAATTATTGTCATTTTTATGTGAGATTTGTTTGAATGGTATTTTGATACATACATGTTGTTAACGAATTAAAAGACACGTTGTGCTAAGAAACGACCCAGTACTTCTGTTGGGGCTGTTGTTTAAGTGTTTTCTCCGACACAGATAATAACCGTTGATGTGTGCTGAAAATGTAACTAAGTTCTCCATTATGCGACCCTCCGTCTGAAGGATGGCCCGCTGAATTGAAAGAGCACGGACGTGCTCCACTTCGGGCACTTAACAGCACTTACTCTTGTTTATTACAAATGTGTATTAGCCCCGACGTCACTTAACCCTAGTAAGCCTCGGAGTTAATTGTCATTTCCCCCGGATTAGCCGGCCAATGATCATATGACAACATCAATCGCATTAGTGTGTCAGTTGTAATTCATCGTCTATCCCCGAACAATTATACAACGATATGCTTAAGGTGACACATTTATTGCCATGACGCTGGAAGAAGAAAAATCCTTTCCCCTCCTGGTCTTTCAAAGCCTTTATCTTTTTTCTGTCCCTGCCCGCTGGCATCAACCGACCCGGAGTAATGATTAGGCGATCGGGAGAGAATAGGATGGCGTTAATTGTTGTTAATTGGTATCCACAAGCCTCGTTTATCGTAGTGACACTGATTGTCTGATGGTCTTTGTCCTTGGCTCTGCGTCATTTGTATGTTGACAATCATCTCACGCACGACACAATGCTGAGGTGGGTCTATGAGTAAAGTCATTAGAGTTTATATGCCGAGTGACTTAGCGATGGTCATTTATTGTTTCCGTCCTGTGTGGAATCTGAAACTCGTGTTTCCTACATAGAGCAGAACAGCTCGTTATATATGTTATGTACACAAAGAGCTATAAAAATAATGTTAATAAGAATGATACTAGGTATATGGGCGTGCCTTGCGTTCGGCGAGACATACATTTGCAGTAGAAGAAAACGCTTTGTTAATCAATATCTTACTTGATTGAACTATTCCTTTAGGTCAATATTTATGTTTTCTTTATAACGTGCTTTCCTTTTTTTTCAACAAACACGTGTTTTTTATCGTTACTTGTTTTCTGCTTTTTGCATTTGGCGAACATCAATTATGTTTCTGACAAAACAAGAATGATGATGTCCTCGGATGATGAAATTTCAAATATCATTAACTCAACTAACACGTTATTTAACATGGGAATTCACCTTTGAAACACGGTTATCATTTCGACACTACATATTTGGTCCCTTACACAACTTCAACTTATTCGGATATGTTTTAATGCGCGCATTAAATACTTCTCAAGAAAGGCATGATTAGGTGCGCACTGCTGAGACGCGTGTTTTGCGTTCCGTATACTCATAAATAAAGTCTCCGACAGAGAGAAAATATTATCATAACGTCTTTTTATCACTTAAAATAAATATTAACATATTTCATTACTCATATTACTTAAACAGTGTCTCCACAATGACATGCGATAACATGCTATTTGATGCGTCAATGCAAGAAGCTATCGATAGTCAATAGAGATTTTTTACATCATTTGTCATCTAACTTCTAACACAACATTATGTCAATATTATCTCAGCAAACTGGAAACCGTCCCCACAACAAAAACCTCTGTTAAGGAGAGTTATTGTTAACCAGTTGAAACAGCGCTTGGAACCAGCGTTAAGTGCTTTGGAACATTTCACGTTACACGGGAACGTGTTCTTGTATGTTCTTATTACTTGACACATTTATATTTTTCAAATATTGAAAATGATTTTAATGGGATCATTTTGGTTTATAAACAAAAGTAAGTAATATGTATGTAAACAAAAGAGACAACCTCTTCAAAGCCATAAGAAATCTCTAAAAAAGTCGATTGTACGATTCCGACTGGGTCATGAGCATGTGTTTAGGAATGCCTATCAACTGGGGATCATACCGGGTGTTCGAAAAACAAACACATGCAAAGCGGGTAAATTATGCACCTAAAATGACGGGAACATATGATACAAGTCAAAATATGGAATTGCATAGGACATTAATTTTGTCATTGACGCATCAATTTTGGAAATGTCATCCATATGTCTTCCATAAAACTTCTTGAAAGTTTTAATGAGGCCTTGTAACCCTGATCAAACAACTTTTAGCAAGAGTCGTATGGCGCTGTTTGAAATCTTTTAGAAATATCATACTGATTGTACCTCAAGGGTTGTGAACTGTACACACCAAAGACTGGAGCTGCAGGAATATTGCTCAAACTGAAAGGCAAGTTGACAATCGGAAAGTTGAAGTCATCCCTCTTGTCATACAGTCTTGTGGAGACTTTTCTGTCACTCGGAATCTTTATGCATAGATCTAATAATGAAACAGACGAGTCGGTCCCACTGGCCTCCTTTGTTTCTAGTTCAGGTGGTAAATAGTGGAAGGGAAAAGGCTATTTGATGGTTATTTGAAATTAAACTTCTTGGGCAAATTACCTTGTCTTGACTTTGTAAACCCGAGCAGAAATACCGTGCACAAAGAAACAGATCAACAAGAAGGGGAGCCCCATTTCCTCCCACGGGGATGCCTACTTCTTGCTTAAATGTTTTACCCCCCTTATATGGATGTTATCAACGAGGAAGTCCGGCATTTGTTAGATGTCATTTGCTTACATTTTTAAAATGAGTTCTTACATGCTGGCAGAGGCGTATGGCAAACAGGCCTTTTCGAAAGTTAAAACTGTAATATTTGGTGTAAATAGTTTATAAAAATATTTTAATATTAATTGTATTGTGGAATGGATATGGAAATATTATCAAATAAAAATATAGCAGCGTGCCCCAAAATATCAAATCTAATTAACAAGCTGATGTTATGCTCTTTCCAATGTGTACTTTGAACTTATGCGTTAAAAATGAAATGGCGGAATTATGCAATAAGTATACGGCTTTGTAATAACTTAAATAAGCTTAGTAAGCACAGTTTGATTCGGTGTTCCAGACGATGGTTCTCAGGGCGAAAAGAGGAAGAAATCTGGCGACGAGAGCGACGATAAGGACAGCGGCCAACCACAGAAGAAGAAGAAAGCGAGGACGACATTCACAGGACGCCAGATCTTTGAGCTGGAGAAGCAATTTGAGCAGAAGAAGTACTTATCCTCAGCCGAGAGAGCAGAAATGGCAACACTACTTAATGTTACAGAAACACAGGTATGCCAAGCGCAATTGAACTTTTGATTTTACCTTAAGCTTTAACACATCTATTGTGTGTTAGCTATCACTAAAGGGGGTCACACCTATGCATAAGCTATATCATTCAAACAAACTGCGAGAATCAATACTGAAAAGGTTTTCCTTCTTCAGATATATGGACTTCTGTGTAGTTAAAAAAATACAATTAATTCTGACTATCCCACCAGATATATTGCTGTAAAGGTGCTATATCAGCTTACTTTGAAATGGTGTTCCAAGAATGAATTCTCTACCAATCTTTTCCTATTGAAAACTTGTAAACATAAATTCGCTAGCTGATTTGTTTCGTTTGAACAAATAGTTTTGCCTTATTATTAATTCTCGAAATTACCCCAGAACGAAAACATTAATTAGAATTATTTTTCGCCATCGCGTAAACAATGAAAGTGATTAATGATTATTGAATCAAGCGCCCGCGGCTCACATTTCGACACGCGTTCACCGATTATCAATTTGATAAAACATTTTAGATCAGAGAGTCAAGCTTTGACACTTAGCCAGCAGATGGATAGTCACTGCGGGACCGGTGTCACGTGGTCTCGCGGGACCAGTCATTGTCAAATGCCACAATAAATCCACGTGGCTCCTTGCAGCGACATCTCCATTGAGATTAATTAGGCTAATCTTATGATGGCTTAATGAGGAAATAAACGAACGATTTGGAGCTTTGACTATGACACAAATAGTTAAGCAAAACATTACACTGTCATGATTATCTTAACTCGAAACAGCCATGTGAAGCAACAATGGCTGTGATACGGCTCCATTCAAACTGAGCGAATTTAATCGTATCTTTGTTCTATTCTGTTAACCAGACTTTGAAATTTTCACTTAAGTTTTACATATTCGAAAATACGCATTCGTTGAATTTTATCAGTTAATTATATTTAGCTGTACAGCTTGTATGTTGAAAAAATCGGAACTAGGAAATAAATAAACGGCTTGAAGTTAGACATCTTGTTAACACTCTCTCGCGTTTATTTTTAACGTCTCATATCCATGATTTTGTCCAACCTTTCCCCTTATAATTTCACACATAGCCGCAATAACTAATTGCTTATTGTTTCAAACATACTGCCTGAGGGAAATTTTCGGAAAACAGTGAGAATAAAAGTTCAAAACATTTTTGTCATGAGTTTGGAGGATATAATAAATGTGACAAAACCTTTATCAGAAGAAATCTCCGCTAAGATTCCGATTATATCTTAAGCATGTGTTTATGCATCACTATCAAATAAAGATTATACCAGGTATTCGCGAAAAGGTAGGCTTATCTTGCCCCGTCGGCGGCACAAACACATGCAAAGGCAAGTCAATTATTCGCCTGAATAGGTACAGAATATGGTACTAAATAGGGAATGGACACCTTTTTGGTCACTAATGCGTCAAATTTGGAAATACCTTCCACATGTGCCTAACACAGAACGTTTTGAAAGCTTTAATAAGACCTTGTGTGTTGTAACCCTGATCAAACAAATTTTGATCAAGAGCCATGCGAGGCTCTCTATAGCAGATATGACACGTACAGTAATACTGAAGGATACATAAGACTTATATCCCATATTGAAACATATTGCTTTAGAATGTCAGAATCTGCAATACACGACCATTGTATATTCAAAGCTGATTGCACATACAAACAAAGCCCAATTAAATAATTAATTAATCACGTGTGTATCTTAAGGGTATTGTCAATATACATGCCAGTTATATCACTGCCGTAAATACTTCTGGATAGCTTGACATCATTAAACAATAATTGCTCGTAATTTACAGCAATAAATTTCGGGCATACAAGGTCTGATAAGATTACTACTGTATCTTCTATTTGCCTACATTAAATTACCATACTAACATGGTAATAAACGAAATGCTATCTTAATTGAGGATTTACAAGCTGTATAATTGAGAAATGATATCTTAATTAAGGATTACAAGCGGCATAATTGAGAAATGTTAACTTTCGTAAAAATGATTCTCGTTCTGTTCTTTGTTGCCAGGGACATTGGGTTTTTCTAGACCTAAAAGCGTTCTTTTGGAACGCCAAATACTCGGTTTTGATGTGTACTCGGTTTTATGTGAACCCATGTGAAGTTTCCCGCTATGATATGGCTGGGATAACGCTAAAAGCGGCGTAACACCATACTCACTCACTCATACTGTTGTCCTTTCTGCTTGGGAGTTATTTTTGTATCACGTTACACCGTATTAAAACATACAACTGCGTCCTACCACGAGTCAAATAACGCACTTAAATATGTTTCAAGCCACTACTATAGATACATGGGTTATGTTCACCAGCGATGTGTTTCTTAAATCTCCGAAGGCCGCGGCAATTAGAAGCGTTTGCAAAACAGTATGGCGGCCATCTGGTGTTTAGGTTTCTCAATGCTGATGGCGTGCTAATAGCTTTTCACGTTTGGTGTCAATGCCATGTTGCCGTTCTTAGGAAAAGAAACCTGTTTTGTTAATTCGGTGTTAAAAGATATCATTTGTTGGGTGTTTGAGCTCTATGGCGTGTTTTCTCCCATCTTCAGCGTGTTTGGAAAACTGTGAGAGACCTTCTAACCAAACATTTCTTTCTCTTCAGGTGAAGATCTGGTTCCAGAACAGAAGAACAAAATGGAAGAAACAGGAAAATATATCGAGTGCCGAGGCCGCCGAACATAAACTGAACGCCGAGAAAAACTTGTTGAAGAACATGAAATGTAAGAAGGTTACGGATAAAGACGAAAGCATCCAAGACGAAATTCAAGATGGCGACCGTTTGACCAAGACAGAATCGGACTCATTGTCGGCCTCTGACGTCGTTGATGGTCGTGTGCAAAATTTAGACAGTTCCGCTTCAAATTGTGACACAGCTCCTAGTGTGTTAAATCTCTCGTCACCTGAAGAAGAAAAGACAATAAAAATTGAAGAAACAACAGAAATGAAATTGGAACGTGTGCCAGTGTTGCCTTGTTATGACACAGTGGCCGTGACAGCCCAGTGACCCTGATCTTGGCTTTGATAAGGGTAAACAACGATATCTCACATCCAACCAGACGTTTTTCCATATGGTCGAGATTGGTGCCATCAACCTCATTTCACTATTCACATATACATGACTGTGAAATTAACGATGGGTTAAGTACCGACTACTTTCCAAGACTTCGTGCATCTTGTATCGTTGCATCATATTCCCATTATTGTGTTGAGCAGTATTACGGAGACTATGCTCACTCTTACATCTCATGGTTGTATTGGTGCAAGTTATTATTATGATGTTGTGAATATATTATTACTATTATTATCACACTTTAAAAGGGTGCAGTTTTAGCGTTTATTGGAGACAATCAGGGCCAGGGGTACGGCATTAAATAGGAATGCGGGGTAGCCTAGTTTTCATGCCACACGTCTTCACACCAAGAACTCTGGTTCGATTCCACTTGAGTTCTAAAGTGTGAAGCCGTGTCTTTGTGTACACGCCGGGATATTGTTGAAATTAAAAGATTCGGCGTTAAACCCAAATCGCTCTCTTTGGAATCAAGTGAGCATCTACGACCTGTCTTTTTCCGAAATTAAGTTAACGCCCTCATATAACTGAAATACTATTCAAAAGAAGTTAAGGATCACCCGAACCTTTAATTTTACTATAGTTAAATCAGTCATGGCAGATTTACTAAGTATAGTAATATGAAAGAGTAGGAAGGTAGTATAAAACGTAAAAATATTTTGTTAAAGCTTTACACGAATTAGAATCACACGACATTTGTAAAGCGACCCGAAAGTACTCAAAAGTTCTTCCTTTCAAATCATTGATTTATCCGGTTCATATCTATGAATTCTTTACTTAAAGTACAAAGGCATTGAAGCGTCCGACTCGGTCAATTACAAATCAAAGTTTTAATGATTGTTGTCTCAATCGTTGAAATAGCTCCACCGTAGATGAACTCGAAACTTACAGCACAATACTGATTTATTGTGATTGTCAATATATGTCCCTCACGACTGTCGGCAACTGTTGTATTTCATTCCAATTTTCACAGTGCTGGCTCCCAGTCAAGCGCAACATGACACTCGTATTGTTGTTCCTGATAATGCACACCATCGTCAACTATCACCACACCCTGTGTAGACTTGGAGGTCAATAAATATCCTTTTATAATTACTCACGATTCGATCTGTTATTTTTTGTATCGATTTTGTTTCCGGTCATCGATAAGAGCGTACCCTAGGGCCTCGTGTTTTCGTCCGGCCATAGGGGGATCGATAACCGAACAAGATGTATTTTGTTGCTTAAACAGAGTACTTAGATCAACTGGTTGTAATCAGTCGAATGATTGGAGCGTTTGACGAGTACGGATATCTTGAATATATTTACTAGATATTAGTTTTGCTACGGTTGAAGCATTGCCAAATACCATTTTATGTCGTAAAAAGACCAACAGAATTGAAAACTTTTAAAAGCAATGTTATAGGTGGTGTGGCATTACTATCGAACTTTTCGAAAACAAATCGATTAAGTTTTCAGCGTTTTTACTTATAACATCCCTCGAAATGCATTAATACTACAGTTATAGTCGTAAACATTAGAATCATCCGTATTTTTCAATGATTAATCGATGGATACCATAAAACGTATTGAAAACATGAACATTGCGTGTTCTGGTATCAGGTGAAATGTGAAATAAACACACTGATGAACAGCCCGTATTTTGATGAACCACACGTGATGAATCACTCCATTCACTTATGAACGACCAGATCATTGATGGAGACACCTGCATAATGTTGAACCACCTGTATTTTGATGAACCACCCGTAATGTTGAATCTCTCCAACATTACCACACGTATATTGATGAATCACTCCATTGATTTATGAACGATATAATGATGAACCACCCGTACATAGATAAACCACCCGCACATAGATGAACCATCTGTACACAAGATGAACCACCCGTACACTGTTGAACCACCCATACATAGATGAACCACCCGTACATAGATGAACAACCCGTGCATAGATGAACCACCCGTACACTGATGAACCAACCATACATAGATGAACCACCCGTACATAGATGAACAACCCGTGCATAAATGAACCACCCATACATAGATGAACCACCCGTACATAGATAAACCACCCGCACATAGAAGAACCATCTGTACACAAGATGAACCACCCGTACACTGATGAACCACCCATACATAGATGAACCACCCGTACATAGATGAACAACCCGTGCATAGATGAACCACCCGTACACTGATGAACCAACCATACATAGATGAACCACCCGTACATAGATGAACCACCCGTACATAGATGTACAACCGTGCACTGATGAACCCCCCGTACATAGATGAACAACCCGTGCATAGATGAACCATCTGTACACAAGATGAACCACCCGTACACTGATGAACCACCCATATATAGATGAACCACCCGTACATAGATAAACAACCCGTGCATAGATGAACCACCCGTACACTGATGAACCACCCATACATAGATGAACCACCCGTACATAGATGAACCACCCGTATATTGATGAACCACCCGTGCATAGATGAACCACCCACACATAAATGAACCATCCTTACACAAGATGAGCCACCCGTACATAGATGAACCACCCGTACATAGATGAACCACCCGTATATAGATGAACAACCACCCGTATATTGATGAACAACCCGTGCATAGATGAACCACCCGTACACTGATGAACCACCCATACATAGATGAACCACCCATACATAGATGTACAACCGTGCACTGATGAACCACCCGTACATAGATGTACAACCGTGCACTGATGAACCACCCGTATATTGATGAACCACCCGTGCATAGATGAACCACCCATACATAGATGAACCATCCGTACACTGATGAACCCTCCGTACATAGATGAAGAGCCCGCACATAGATGAACCACCCGTACATAGATGAACAACCCGTGCATAGATGAACCACCCGTACACTAATGAACCACCCATACATAGATGAACCACCCGTACATAGATGTACAACCGTGCACTGATGAACCACCCGTATATTGATGAACCACCCTCACATAGATGAACCACCCATACATAGATGAACCACCCTCACATAGATGAACCACCCGTACATAGATGATCCACCGGTACATAGATGAACCACCCGTACACTGATGAACCACCCGTACACTGATGAACCACCCGTACATAGATGAACAACCACCCATACATAGATGAACCACCCTCACATAGATGAACCACCCGTACATAGATGAACCATCCGTACACTGATGAACCCTCCGTACATAGATGAAGAGCCCGCACATAGATGAACCACCTGTACATAAATGAACCACCCGTACATAGATGAACCACCCGTACATAGATGAACCACCCGTACATAGATGAACAACCCGTGCATAAATGAACCACCCGTACATAGATGAACCACCCGTATATTGATGAACCACCCGTACACTGATGAACCACCCGTATATTGATGAACCACCCGCACATAGATGAACAACCCGTACATAGATGAACAACCACCCGTACATAGATGAACCACCCTCACATAGATGAACCACCCGTACATAGATGAACCATCCGTACACTGATGAACCCTCCGTACATAGATGAAGAGCCCGCACATAGATGAACCACCCGTATATTGATGAACCACCAGTCTATTGATGAACCACCCGTATATTGATGAACCACCCGTATATTGATGAACCACCCGCACATAGATGAACCACCCGCACATAGATGAACCACCCGTATATAGATGAACCACCAGTCTATTGATGAACCACCCGTATATTGATGAACCACCCGTATATTGATGAACCACCCGTATATAGATGAACCACCCGTATATTGATGAACCACCCGTACACAGAGTAACCACCCATACATAGATGAACCACCCGTACAAAGATGAACTACCCGTACATAGATGAACAACCCCTATATTAATGAACCACCCGTACATAGATGAACCACCCGTATTTTGATGAACCACCCGTACACAGAGGAACCACCCATACATAAATGAACCACCCGTACATAGATGAACCACCCGTACATCGATGAACCACTAGTACATAGATGAACCACCCATACATAGATGAACCACCAGCACATAGATGAACCACCCGTATATAGATGAACCACCCATACATTGATGAACCACCCATACATAGATGAACCACCCGCACATAGATGAACCACCCGTACATAGATGAACCACCCATACATAGATGAACCACCCGTTCATAGATGCAGCAGTATTATTATTATTATTATTATTATTATTATTATTATTATTAGTAGTAGTAGTAGTAGTAGTAGTAGTAGTTGTTGGAGGGGTGGGTGGACTATCCTGAGATGAAATATGTAAACGTTGGAGGGGTGGGTGGACAATCCTGAGATGAAATATGTAAATGTTGGATGCGTGGGTGGACTATCCTGAGATGAACTATGTAAATACTTGAGGGGTGGGTGGACTTTCCTGAGATGAAATATGTAAATGTTGGAGGGGTGGGTGGACTATCCTGAGATGAAATATGTAAATGTTGGAGGGGTGGGTGGACTATCCGTAGATGAAATATGTAAATGTTGGAGGGGTGGGTGGACAATCCCGAAAAGAAATATGTTAATGTTGGAGGGTTGGGTGGACAATCCTGAGATGAAATATGTAAATGCTGGAGGGGTGGGTGGACTATCCTGAGATGAAATATGTTAATGTTGGAGGGGTGGGTGGACTATCCTGAGATGAATTATGTAAATGCTGGAGGGATGGGTGGACAATCCTGAGGTAAAGATACAGTCAGTATTCTGATACAGAAGGATTCACACATACACATGATGAATTATGCAAGGTGATTTTGAATGCATTTTTTGGGTGGAAATTTACATATACTTCTCAAAATATAGTGACTCTCGAACTCAACAAAGTTTTAGAAATAACTCCATGTAATGGTGTAGTTTGTGCTGGCAATGCGCTCCGTGGACCTTAAGCCATTAACACCAGAAGCCGATTGACGAAAATTACATCTCAGTTCGAATGAGAAGCACAATGCCAAAACTTTTTCTACGTTTGTGACATTTTCTGCTTAAACCATCAGTGGCGTTAGGTATCTACAAGGACCACGGAGCGATCACTTAGGGTCCCTAAACCATCTCGAGGAAAACATTAAGTGTTTTACCCAGACAGTTTTCGCTTAAATATTTGAATAAGAGCATTTAAAAGGTGGTTTTGATGGCGGACGAGGCAGATCACCGAGTCGCGTCCCAATATTGCCCAACGATAATCAGCAATCGTTGAATATAAACGTAGCATTCAGCAGCAAGGAGCTTGTATCGGAGGGACAGTATACGCGCCGGAGGAGGAATGGGGGTCGTATACCCCGCGTTTATAGTTCATTTAAACTTTTCTTCAATCGATGATTTCATTCTAGTGGACGGCTGCAACTCAACAAACAGCTCCGTTTTGGGTTATATGGATAGATGTTATTTATATATTGGCCATTTATTAATTCGGAAATAGTCGTGTGGGAGAGCATATATTTCTACGGAGGTGTATATTGATTTGTTTTAATGTTTGGGTATTCATGATATGATAATGCGTTTATGCTTATTTTTTATATTTTACGTGATGACTTTTCGGAAAGGGTTGATCATATTTAGACATTTATGGATACAAAGTGGGTTAAATAATGATATGCAGGTTGTTGGTTCGAAACGGCGTGATCAAAGGTTTTAATGGGGCTGACTGTGAGAATTATCACATGTTAAAATGTATAGTGATCACTGATAATTGTCCATTATTTCTAAAACGACAATTTCCATCTTGAAAAAAACCCATGGAAACACCGGCTCCTTTTACAAACACATATTATTTATCGTGTACAAATTGGTGCATGGAAACATAAAATGCAGATTTACAAAATATGTTCGTAAAAATTATAATCCTAAATAATATGCATTTTTTTCACCGGCAATAGTTGAGAACCATTTCGTAGACGCTGCAGCAATTGAGCTAATGTCCCTGCTTCGCTCTGCTGGGTGTTAACAATGGTATTTGACTGAGGTAAAGTAATAGTAGTGAAATGTTTATTAAAGTG